CTTAGTAGGTCCCTTACGCTGATAAAATCAGCATCTATTTTCCCTATAATGCGATTAAGAACCCTTTAAAGAGTCAAACTCAAACAGAAAAAAATGTCACCCATGTGAAAAATAGGTACCTACAACAGCCTTGCAAGCAAGACCCAGAGATTACTGTAACTGTGAGAGATAAGCGGGAAACCTAGTTATTTTTATACTGCCTTTTTGAGAACATTTGGTGCAAGGCTGATTTCCTTTGTTTGTGCAGAGCCTGAAGGACAGAAGATGGGGCAGAGGGAGACAAAGCAGCGAGATTGCCAAAAAGGTCTCACTTGTTTTTCCCTTCCTTATTCCCTCCTTGGGACCGGCAAGATTTTCAGCTAACACTTTCAAATCTTCCCTTCCTCAGGCAGCAGTGAAACGGAAGCTTCTCATTGAGCTGACAAAACCTGTACCGAAGCAGCAACGGCTTTCTCCCTCCTGTGATATGAGCTCAGCCTGCCCTGGCCCCACACCACCTCAATTCAATTTGGAAGAAAAATAATTTCGGTGAATCAGGGAAAGGCAGGAGGCACTGGAGAGGGGGACAGCGAGAAATCAAATCATTAAGTCAATTAAAGTTTCAGCCCTTCTATGCAGAAGCACTCTCTGTAGCAGCGCCCAGTAATTTCATCAGGATCCATCGGACAATCAGTCCATTATCCCCTGATAAGTGCGTCCTCCTGCCAGCAGGCAGAAGGAGGGGAGCTCTGCCAGCTCCTGTACAGCAAGATGGAGGGCTCTGTTTCAGCTCTTCTGCAAGTGCCCGGGAACACAACCCTCCCCGCACACATCCCAGCCCCTCTCCCATCATTGGCTCGGGGACGTGGGGCGCCGGGAGGATGTGCTGCCCTTTTGCGTCTCCTTATGGCGACTGCGATCCTTTGGAAACGTGCAATCGCAGGAGCTGGACAGGAGTCACAGCCTCTTCTCTCACCACCTTTTTCTTTTGCCTCTGAGCTCTGATGCTGTTAACGCCTGGACTGGCTCAGAGTTAATAATTCGTCACCGGCTTCTGCCTAAACAGCCACTGACGAAGCTGCAAAAGCCACTAAGACTCCAGGACATAAATAGCAGCTAGTGTGAGAGACAAATGTAACTAGCGCCTAGAACAAGGGAAAAACAAACAGGCTGGAGCAGGAAGAAAAATGGATCACAGATTTTAAAGCAAAATAAGGCAGGAGCATTTGGGTGTGCTTACCACACTGCCCAGTTGCTCTGACTCCGCAGAGCAGGTAGAGGGCTGCACTAGACACAGAAACAATTGCCAGGATCACTGGAAACCTAAATTATCCATCTTCTTGCAACGCCACAGGACAGAAAGCACAAAATGAAACGGCGTGACCGCATGTGTTAAATACTGCAAGCACAAAGCAGCCTAATGAAAGCTACATACGGGATGCATTTTAGAACAAGCAGAAAGTGGAAGCGGCAATAGCAAAGATAGCCCAGAATTTAAGAACAGAAAAAAACCCTAACAACAAAAAAAATACAAAAGTGAAGCATAAAAGTGTGTATTTTCTCCTTAACGAAGCCGTTCCCTGGCCTCGCTACAGGCACAGACCGTACCGCCGTACTCATTTGGAAGTGCTTACAAGTTTTTAATATTTTCTGCCACTCCGGCTGTGTACTGCGGATCTGTCTGAAAACAAAAGATAAGCAGTGTTAGATCCTTCAGCCTGTGCCCCCCATGGCTCAGAAATCACCTTCAACACACCCCGGGGGTACTGTCAGCACCTCTGTACCATCTTCATGTCTCCTTTTATCCAGTTTAACCGCTCTCCCCATGCTGATGGTCTCCTAGGAGCCCTCCTTTGTGGCCAGTGTTAACCAAAGGCATCACACACCAAAAACCACCCCAAAGGACTGCACATCTTCCCCACATACTCTCCTGGCACTTCTGCCCTTGCCAGCACCAAGCATTTGCACAAAGTGTTAACTTCTGGACTATTTTTTTTTTTCTCTGTACATGCTGGCTTTCATCCAAGCGAATACTCTCGGCAGAAAAGGATCTCCACCCCTTTTGTGAAAAAGAGGGGTCTATTTATAAGCATGCATTTTTCATTTCAGGTTTATTTCGATGCTTTTCTTCCTAAACCAACAGTTTCTTCCCACAATCAACCTGGCAACCTGTAACAGTTGGGATGCAAAGGTCAGCAGCACCGCCCGCCGCTATCTGCAGGCGAGGTAAGTGCAAACACAGGGACAGGCACTGGGCAGAAACCATCTTGCACAGTGACCAGGAAAACAAAATCCAAGAACAAAGGGCAGGAGACCCAGGAGCAAAATCTGTGCCTGCTTCCTGGTGGCGGTATTGTTTTGGGAGGTTGTACGGATCACGGGACCGGGCGGATCTGCAGACGCAGCATCACAGAAGCCGGGACCGGCTGCTGCTGTGCTTGGCGCCAGGCGGAGGTGAGAAGTGAGATGCCGGGGATGTATGTCACAAGCTGAGGACAGTGCTTCCATGCCGGAATGGTGACAAGGAAGGGCTTTCTCGAGAGGAAAAAGGTCCCTTTCTCAAACAGGGCTCAGGCTTCTGGTGCTGGACCGATTTCTTACCCCACTGCTGCCAAGAAAACAGCAATGGGAAAAACAAAGGCAGGAAAGATGCTCCTGGCTTTGGGAGCAAACACACAGCTCCGCTCCAAGTGCCCAGCTGCCACCAAAACGGCAGGTTCGTGACAGCCGAGCTGGCCAGCTCGCCCCAGGGCTCCCCTCTGCCAGGCGAGGAGTCCCCGTCTCTCCCAGGCAGCCTGGCCCCGCCGTGCATGACACCCGCGGTGGTTAGCGGTGGCACTCAGAAATGAGAAGTCCCCATCCCAAAAAGGACATTCAGTTGCTCTACTCGTTGTCCTGAGTCTCTAAATTACCCAGCGTCCGGTCCAGGTTCATACCACCTCTCCACTGTTTATTCTTTATCCCATGCCTGAAGAGCCCTAACAAGCAACACCAAGTGCAGGCACATCGAGAAACGCTTTGTCTGGGAAGAGGCAGAGCAGGCACAGCGGTGGTTGACACTTGCATGGAAGGAGGACGTTGTGTCAGCAAGAAAGGAGAGTGACAGTGGTGATCTGCAACAGCTACCATCGCTGTTACTGGGCTATGGCCAGGTGTGCTCCTGCACTTCACGGTATCAGAATTAATTTCTTTGTTGTTCACTTCCCTCGTCACAGGTACACATGGAAAGTCAGGTGCTGCCATCGCAGCGTGCCCCCTATTTTCAAGTCAACTAAAAAAAAAAAATTACTGCAGTCCTAAATAGAAGATGTTTTTGGTCAAGCTACTTAAAACCTCTCATGCTTTAAGCCACCCACTGCGAAAACAGCCACCAAACCTGTCCTGTTACTGGGCTATGGCCAGGTGTGCTCCTGTGCTTCATGGTATCAGAATTAATTTCTTTGTTGTTCACTTCCCTCGTCACAGGTACACATGGAAAGTCAGGTGCTGCCATCCGCAGCTTGCCCCCTATTTTCAGTCAACTAAAAAAAAATATATTACTGCAGTCCTAAATAGAAGATGTTTTTGGTCAAGCTACTTAAAACCTCTCATGCTTTAAGCCACCCACTGTGAAAACAGCCACCAAACCTGTCCTGGCTCGAAGGGAAACGACAGCCAGGACCGAACCTTGTCCCAGGCACTTTGGGCTGCACCCATCTGTGCACACCTTCTCCTTGTACAAAATACCAGCCAGAGACCCAAAACCCAAATGCTACTCAAAATGTCAAATTATGGGTAAACAGGCAGCAAACCCAGACATTTATCTTTGTTCCGCTCCCAGTAACAGGCCACTGAGGTTTATCTTTCTCACCGGATTTCTGGAAATTAAGACAAATGCACTTCAAGCTCAAGAAAATAATCCTGAAGGGAAAGCCACGGAGAAAAATAACCATCTAAACCTATCGATAAAAGCAGCTCTTGAGGATTAATGTATCAAGGCTTTTTAGCCCCTGGATTCAGCAACTGATTCTGGGCTCCAGACACCAGTACAAAGCGGCATCATGTTAGTCTCAGCCCCAAATCAGCAGGCTCTTGGGTTTGGAGAGGGGGTTAGTGCTGTCTTACAGGTACGCGGAGAAACGAAGCTGCTTCAGGAGAGCTCCCCCAGATGTGGCCATGGGGCTGCTCCAGCACATTTTGGGAACAACCACTCAAGCACCCTGCAAAAGCCATCATGATTTAGACCAGAACGATAAATGCACGTGCTGCGCTGGCAGCTGCTAATGTTTGCCTGCTCGCATCCTGACCTCTCTCGCCCAATCGGTGTTTCATTTTGGGCAGGACGCACCTAATGATCCTGGTGGGACGGCAGCCCAAGGCTGGGCTTATCTGGCCCGGCAAGCGGCAGAGCTGGCCTCCAGGTGGGCAGCCGTCCTGTTTGGCACTGAGTTTGGGAGACAGTGGGATGGGATGGGGGCCAGGGAAACGGGATAAACAGCGAAATGGAATAAACAGGCAAAGCTCTGTCTTACCTCGGCGATGAGGACGACGATGACGGAGTCCTCCTTCTCCTGCTGAGTGAGCTCTGAGATGAGGGAGTTGAGGGTGTCGGTGAGGTAGGAATGCACCTCCCGCTTCACGCTGGGGATTCCCATCACAACGGACACTGCCCAGGGCCAAGGAGAGATTTTAGAGAGGGGGGTGTGCTGGGACAAGACACTTTGCTCCGCTCCCATGACAGCCTCATGGTTCACCTGCTCGTTGCCATGCTCCGTCATTAAAAACCAGCAGTGATCAGCAGGTTGGTGGGTTCCTGGGCTACGTAGGGTTCCCATACCCCTGTCCCTCAGCCTGGTACCGACCAGCAGCATGCCAATGCGCCGGGCTGGCAGGGCACCCATGGCAGTCAGATAGACTCTTTCTTTTCTCCCTGAAAGACTGGTGCCTAAGGAAACACCCAAAACCCCTCCCCCTCCTAGGGGCCTTTTCAGCCCGCGAACGTCAACTTCAAGACCACCCTTGCTCTCCAAACCTCTCCCATGGCCAGAAGCACCTCAGTTTAAGAGGGATAAGTCAGGTCTTTGGCTTTGGGTTGGGATTTGGGAGCAGGGGGGGAATCATCTAGTACCCAAAGTCCTATTTCAGATGGGATTTGTCTCCTAAGACCGGTTAGAGTCTCTGTGAAGCACCCCGCAAACTGTGCTTTCATCTGACCACCTTCCAGGCAAAGTCTAGAGCACTCTGGAGATGGAAAGCAGCAAAAAACATCTGGCAGAAGCATCGAGAACATTTTAGTGCCAGTCAAGAGCACAGACAGCACTCCCCTGTAGACTCGCAGACATGACATGGCTTACCCACCCCGCGTGCCATGATACCAAGGAAGCTTGCATGATGCATGCAGCCACTCCTCCAGTCCTGCTCATCTCCGTACCACAGCCAGGCCCAGAGGAAAGGGGAGGGACAGGCGCTAAGGTGAGGAAGAGCACCAGAAGCAGCACTAATTCCCATTTACCTCCAGTGCGCCCCTGTCCCACATGCACGGCTGGCTGCAGACTGTTCTCCTTTGACAGCAAATGTGGCAAATGATGGAAGATGGTGGGAAGGTGCAGCACATTCTTGTTGGTGATATTCCACAGTTTTAACTTGGTTTCGTCTTAAAAAGGAAAAGGGAATCAATTGGAAGGAACGGTAGGTAAGAAGAGACTGCAAGGCAAAAAAGCCTTTTTAGAGCAGCCTGGCCACCCGAGACTACAGCTGGGTCACAAAAAATCAGGCCAACCTTTAACATGCTACCACAAACCCAATTAAAGTTCAGAAGGAGCCATGAGGGCCTTAAAGAAGTCCTAAAATATTTGGGAAGGAGGGGGGAGAATGAAGATAAAATGAAGGTCAAATCGGATCTTTCTGTAGAGATCCAATTTTCTTCAACTGAGCAACTTAAAAAAAAAAAAGAACAAATAAATTGGTGAGGGGTGCTCAGCCAACCTAACTCCTCCCTCCTCCCTCTCCTTGGATACCCATTTTCCATATGGATTCAATACAGTCATAGGAAACGGCATGTATGACTTGCAAGGAAAAAAAAAAGCTTGTAAGCAAGCAAATTGGCAAATATCCGCAGCAGAGGCAAATCTCAGTGTTTAATGATGTATATGCACCTCTAATTAAACAGGAGTTTAAGAGTTCCCAGGTCCCTCTGAACTCCACAATTTGCTCGCGCCGGGGGAGAGAAGAGCACGTCCTGTCCGCAGCCCTGCACACACGCGCACGCACGCACGCACACCTCTACCTCCTCATTAGCAACAGCTTCAAAACAGCCCGAGATCCTCAACTTCTCTGTTTATTCACCAGATAAGCTGCTCCAGGTCCGGTTTATATCCCGCAGGGCCTGCTTCTCTGAGATCGCTCTCTTGATCTCCTCCAGGACCAGGTTGAGCTCCTTTGAGCGCTTCAGGCTCTCCTGCTCGGCTGCGTGCAGTCGGTCTCGGAGGGCGAGAAACTCCCGCTGGTAGATGTCCACAACGTCACCTGAGGATGGAAAAGAGAGAGAAGCTTTCTCCTCCGCGCTCGGAAGGGTTTCAAGTCACAAAAGCAACGCCCATCACTCATACCTCCCCCACCTCCACAATCCTTAAAACATGGGTTTAAGGAGCTGTGGTCCAGCACGCACCCATGGGTTGTGTTGGAGAGAGGGAAGTTTAAGTTGCAGAACTACAATTAAAAAGCTCCTTCCATTTTTCTCTTTAACTTGGGTTTCCGGGTCATATAGAAACACGACCTTGTTCTCTGTGACCAAAGCATGCAGCAAAAAATAAGTTGCATGGTAGTTCTTCACTATATACTTGGAAAAGGGGAGTCAGCTGTTGGCACTAATTTTATGAGCAATATTCTGCATCTCTCTGCAGCTCCAGAAGTTTGAGAGCATGAGACAGCAACCACTGGAGCGAGCAGCGGGGAACCAGAGTCAAGTGAAAAAGAACTGAAAGCACTGGTGGTGATGGCCTGTTAAAGCCACGACAAACCCAAGGAATACCAATATTTTTAATTGCCTTGCTCCCTGCTTTGGTTCCCTTGTGGTGCACAAAGGAAAGAGTTTTAAGAGCACACATCAAAGGGCGTTCGAATGGGTAATTCGGGAGAACCCCCCGACAGCATCTTGAGGGCCTTCTCCAGATGGCTCAGGTCATCTCCCAGATGACCCCGAGTGATGGAAAGCGAGATGCTGGCAAGGGGGACGCCACTCCGCAGCGAGACGAGGGCTGGCACAGCACCTCCTCCAGCTCTGGAAAACAGTCCCAAATTCTAATGGCCAAAAGGGATTTTGGGAATCTAAGCTCTCCGAAACAAGGCAGGATAAAGAATATCACACGGCAATAGCTGCCTGGATGCTTATATAAATCCAAGTGTTTGGATACGCACCTTAAGGATGCATCATAAATGTGATATATAAAAAAGAAACTATTGATAGGGCAATAAAGCTTTTTATTTTGAAACAACATCTTATCACCATGCCCTTTTTAAGCAATAAAACTATTGAGAGCCTTCAGCTGGAACTAACTGTACAATAGCTGGGAGTGGAATCAGTTAGCCATTAATGAACTTTCCCGGGCCGTTTTTCACCCCATTATTAATGAAACTACTCATTAAAAATACACTTTTATCTGTGGTCACTCCTGTGTTTTCAGTAAGGCTATAACTCACAGGACTACACCCAAAACAGATTCATCCACCGAATAGTCGACCCTTAGCCCAAACACGACCAGGAGAGCTAATGACCAAAACCACTGCACTGGAACTTCCCAACACAGGGCTAAATATAAATCGGAGCCATTGAAAAAAGACACACTGACTGCATCGACAACTTCTAATTTGGGGTCCATAAAGAAAAAGAAAAAGGAATTTTGAAGATCAGACATACCCCGCTCCAAAGCACAGAGTTTCCAAGACAACAGTGCTTCCCAGTCCAGCTCCCGCCAATGCTTTTGCCTAGGAAAAGTTTCCCCCATGGGGTCTCTTCCCCAAAAAAAAACTTCTTAAAGACTTACTGCTTCAACACAAGGGGACCCCCCCCCCAAGGCAGTCTGGCTCCTATTAATCTTTCAGCATTATTTTCAAAGCCACCGGCACATGGGGAGGGAGCAGAGGAAGTTAGTTACACCCATTTGATTACTCCATCCATCTGACAACACGTTATTCAGAGAAAGTCGAGGGACAGACATAAACAAGACCAGTCCTTCCGTTTTCCTGTGTGGTGCCGCTCGCTTTCCACTCCCATCGAGAAAACATTTAAAAATTTGCAGAAAAACAGGTTAACACCCAGCTTCGGGAGCTGCTACAGGAATTCACATGAGGATGTCAGGCTTTAAACTGACTCCACGATGAGCTAGACCTTTACCTCCTGGTACCTCTCAGACATAAGAATATACCTTTCAGCTTCCCAGTACTCTAGATTATAGGTTTTCCTACTTGTATCTTTTACTGGTGGCATCTGTGAACCCCAGCAAGGAGCAAGTCTTGCTCCCCATTTTTGCACGAAACGATGGCAGAAACCGTGCTTGTGCAAGGCTGGAAGCATTTGGCTCTCGGCATACCCGGGGGTTACTATCCCGTGGATGCTATCAAAGCCAAATCACAGCTAAAGGCTGCCATTAGATCTTGTTCTGCAATACCTGGAGCAGAGTAAAGGCAAGGCTTTGCACTTAATGGCTTTTTCCAGAGCACTGCACTTCGTTTGTGTCAGATTTAGAAGGGAAATGTCACTGATTATTCAGTCACTAATGACCTGTGCGCCGAAGCCAAGAGCTGTACTTTTCATTAGAGTGCAATGGTGATGTGCAGTCAACCATTTGCTGCTTTTCTGGCTAATGGTTGGAAGTGAAATTGTATTTGTTTCCAGTGCTCTTGTCCTATGATGTCTTCGTAGGCTTTCCATTCTTTAATTAAAATTTCATGAAATTTAAAAGCTGATCGATCGTGACCGGTTCCGGTGACAGCTCAAATAGTCCAAGACAAAGCTCAAGATGGGCGTACAGTCTCCCATGAATTTCCAGTAATGCCATTTTGCACTTGTCGGTCTGCAATGACACATGGATGCAGACCTGCCATCCTCGCAAAAACCCTCAGCCGCTCAGCCAGGGAGGGCTCTGAAAAGCCATGAAGGGCAGCAGAGGATAAAGGGGGGGAAATTTGCTCCCATCTCCACAAGCAAGGTTGGACACAGAAGTGATTTGCTGCTAATTAGGCCGAACAAATTTTTCAGCTAGTGTCAGTTCAGCACAGACCCTTTACTTACCTTTCAAAGCAGCAGCACTCCCTATCTACATATTTATCATATTCCCTCACAGCACAAGATAGCAGAGCTCTTAAAATATCTCCAGACTCAAGCATCGCAGGACAAAAACTCCTAGCTATAACTGTATTAAAAAAAAAAGACTCAGCTTACTTTTGCTTGAGAGATAACACATTGCTTCGGGCTTAAAATACACTGGTTTAATAAAGAAAGAAAGGCGATGTTAGGCGACGGTCTGCAGGACAGACCTGGGAGACCAAAAACCTCTCAAACTTGCAGTACTTGCAGCACTTGCAGCACACGCTGTGCCCTGCAAATAACCCACTTCTCACCTTGCCATGCCTAATGTTTGCACGCAACGGTCTTCGGCGAGCCGTCTTTAGAAACAGGCTGGCTGTGAGGCTCCAAGCGTACATTGAGCAGCTTCATGCAAGCCGGCTCTCCGCAGGCCAGAGAAGGCAGCGCTGGGCACAGCTGAGCGCCGGCCGCCATCTGTCCATCCCGGTGCTCACCGGAGCAGATCTGGGGGTCGTGTATCCCTGGAGGGGGGAGCAGCCTGAGGTGGAGGGACAGCGGCTGTAGGAAGCGTCTGGCTGAGCGTCACTCGCCGACCAACAGCTCCTCCCTCTGCTCCCTTCTCTCGCCCCGGCTGTGCCCGGCCACAGTTGCTAGGCTTCATTTTTTTAGCTGGGGGCCTCCGGCTGAGAACCCTGTGCTGCGTTTGCTGAGCAACAACGCGAACCGCTGGTGAAGCAGCGGGCAGGGATGGCTCGAACGGGCTCCTTTCCCGGCAGCTGGGATGCAGTGGCGTGCAGTGGATGGGCACACGCTGGTGGGGCTCACGGGCTGCTCCCCAGGAGCCTTACGTGGGCTCTGCAGAGCTGATCTCCTGCAGCCTTCCCAAAGGTTTTCGTCCATCCAAGACAGCATCCGTTTAATAAAAAGTATTTCTCTGTGATGGAGAATTCCATGGCTTCATTCTTATTTAAGTGACTATTGAGTGCAAACCATGTTTGCTAGCAGAGGTGAGGGCTGGGACATCTGCGTCCACCCTGCTTAGCCAATTTCAGTTTTTGAGTGAAAGCAAAATACCTGATCTGATCCTAAACCAGCAGATGGGCACAAAATCAGACCAGTGCCGATAAAACCCCCACCTTGAAATCTCACACGGTCATCCATATATATCTATATATACAGTCAGGAATGTTATAAATCTGTATTCTGCATTAGTCTTTCAAATCGCACTCCAACCTCCCAGGGAGCCTGCGGTACATTTTAAACATGTCCATATTTCAGGCCAATTACTTTTGGTTTTGTTCTCTGCAGATAACCTCTCCCAGCAGAGCAGACCCATGGCTAAAGCCAGAGATTTCCCTCCAATTCAATCTTTTCAAAAGCAAATGCAAAGTCTTTGCTAGCTGGATTTGCTTCTCATTAGGAAGACTTTCAAGAGACTTTGTTTAAAAACTAAAACCAACCCCCAAACCTCTAAACCATTTATCTTTATAAAACCTTGGCTTCAAGAGCACAACTGCACCTTTTGACCGGTCTGCTGCAAGAGTTCCCAGGGCCAAAAGAGCTGGAAAAAAGCGCAGTCCCCAGTTCACAACGCAAACGGAGCTGGAGCAGAAAACTAAACTGCCTACGGAAAATTTCTCTGCAATGACAGTTCTCCTTTAATTAATAACCGTTCCCCCTTTAAGACTTGCAAGGGCCTGGGGGGAATCCAGAGCACACAGACAACCCCCTCCCCGTGCTACAGCATCTATGTCATCCAAAAATGCAACTGGTGAAGCACGGGGAACCAAGCTGGCGAGCCATCCCACCGCAGCTCGCCACCGTCCCCGTCCCAGCCGGGCGCCTGTGCTGCCCATGCCTGCCTTCGTCCCCAGCCATTTACAGGCGCTCTTGGAGTTCGATGATGATTAGCAATTTTTTGTTTTACGTTTTGATGTTTAATGATTTATATAATGCTGACACTGCTCCACACATTACACTTTAGATTGCCCTGATTAAATCACAACATTCATTAGGTATTTTGCTAACAGAATTTCACCAGACCATTAAAATGGATACAAGGAGTTACTGCGCCATATCAGTGAATTAAATTCAGCTCCTGAGATGTGAAAAAGGTTAGTCCTGCTTTACATGGAAATCCGATGGCTAGTGTAGACACACAGCGTCTAAGATGTTAGACACTTTGCACACAGGTACATGGGGATCGGCAGTAAGTCTACAA